GAAATCCAAGCCTGTGCGCATCTGTCCTGTCTCCCTTTGTGCTTAGCCAGGCAAAGAATTGTTCATGTTTCATGTTCTTCAGCACTGCCTGCTTATCGCCCTGCTCTCAGTATTTGGTAGCAGTCTGGCTCTTTCTTATAATCTAAAGATTTTTTTATTATAGAGGGAGTTTTTTTTTTTATTATCTGCCTTATTTTCAAAAGCTTCTTAATCCTTTTACTCCTGTATGGTAAAACTTGTCTACTGTGCTGTGTCTGAAGTGCAGGTGCCCTAGTGATGACATACCAAGTGTGCAAAATGGCACCAGAGATGGATTTTGCCCCCTGAATTAGATAAATCAGGCTCCTCTGAAATCTGCAGCTTCCAGTGTATCTACTTTTCCCAGTTAGACAAACACAACTAATGCCTTGCCCCAAAGGTATCACTTCCTTTTCTTCTTTCTTGGCTTACTTGTGTTCTCCTTGTGCTCTATTTCATGTTGCTTGAACCTCTTTCTTCCTTCACATGGGTGGACTTAGAACAATGTCAAATCTGTGAAAGCCACTAAACAGCTCAGTCTCACCTATCCAAATGCAAGCTTGCTGTCACATGAGGTAATCTGCCTGCTTGCAGAGCTCTTACACCACAGGTTTCATCACCAGGTTTTGGCAGTTAAAGTCTCATTTTTGTCCTGGTTTCCAAGGCATTTCCCTGGCCTGGATCTAGTTACCTTAGGGATTAATTGATCCATCATGATTTTGACCTCCTGCACCATCCACTCCCCATGAAATGATGGGGCTGTCATGCCTGAAGCAAAAACGTTGTGTGTAACAGACAGCTTTCTTTGTGACTTGGCTGGGATCACAGGCTTTGGCTCTGAAAGATACTAGAATGGCAAGAATCTCAGCACAATATAAGACCCATTTTTTTTTAATCTACTGTCTTAATCACAACCCTATTACTACAAGGTTTTATTATTCATTGAGATTTTATTATTCATTGGGATTGGAGAAGAAGCTATTTATTCCTTTATTTTACTGTCTTTTGACGTGTCATAAAGCAATCTGAGATCACAGCATATAGAAAATGTAACTCTGTAATTGCAAGCAAAGCAAAAAAAAAAGGCAAGAAACTCCCTGAATACATGTTTCTCTCCACTCTTCTGCTGTTATATAAACTGTGAGTGTAGGTAGAGTACATCCATCTCCCTTTTTTGACATGAAAACAGCAGATGGGGCACATGGCTCTTTATGAAGGTTATGGTGTGCAGCAGTGAGGATTGGCAGGGTTATTATGTGTAAAGCCAGTGGGGGCTTTATCTTTGCTCAGAAATAGGGGTTTGCTTCACATTTCCATTTTGATTAGCAATAATGATACAAAGGCAAATTTTCTGTGCGAGGAAGTGCTGCTAATAAAGTGACCTTTGAAAATTAAGTAGCTCATTGAAGTGCCATACCACAATAAGAGTATACAAGGCTGGTCCCAGCTGCAGCAGGCAGGCAAACTGGATGGGAATGCAGAGAAACATGAAATGGGATATCCTGAAGTGGATGAACAGCCCATGGTGGCACAGTAATGGTAGCAAGAGCAATGGCCAGGTGCTGTTTCCAGCTCTGGAGGGGCCGATTTATGTGCTTTGTCTTTGAAAGGATCTGAAAGTGTCAAAGGCAGGAGCAGAGAGTGTTTCTAGCGAGGTTTCTGGGCATGGGGTTGTGCAGTTAAGGGACTCAGCTATTGTCCTGCCAGTGCCATAACATCGGTTGTGCTTGGTTGCTGTTGGGAATGTGTTTGCATGGCTTTACTCATGGTAAACACAGGGTAGATTTGGAGCTATTTTGTGGATTCTTCTTGGATACAGGTGGAGAGCACTTAGTACCACACTGGTCCTAATTCAAAACCTCGGTTTCTATGTAGGAATTATTTGCCGTTAAACTCCAGCTACGCAGCCTTTGGCAAGAGACATGAATCAATTTGTCCAGCTTTTCTTTTCTGTTTTGTCTCTGTGTGAAGGCTGATGCCCAGTGTGTGCCAAGGGGGCCTTTCAGACCCAATAATGCGCCCTTGTGTCTTGTAGCATGCGTGGAATTTGCATAGGCTGTGCTGGGACAGGCAGGTTTCTTTTGTTGCTGGAAACAAGGAGCAAGTTCTTTTCCCTGTCTCTGCTTCCTAATGCCTCTTCAAAAGCTCTCAGCACTCATGTAAGAAATTTACTTTTTTCTATTTATTTTTGCATTAAATGTTGTTAAACTTTGTGCGACTTGTAACACAGGCTGTGCAGAGAAGTCATGTCAGTCAGTTCTAGTTGACAAAATTGTTTAATTTTCTTTCTCTGAATCTAGATATCTAATTGTCAGACGGAACAGATAATCTGTGATGCTTGATGTAACTGCTGCAAAGTATTTGCATATCTTCTCTGTGGGGAAACAAAACTGCTAGTGAGTGAATAACAGTGCACGGATCATTGCAGGCAGGGTCACTGGGCCTATACACTTGCTATTAACCCTTCTCAGGATCTGTATTGCCACAGAATGAGTTGTCATGGATTTCAGGCAAAGGGCTTGCTCCACATTATGGGCAGAGCTGGCACTTGTTTGTGCATTGTAACCATGTGCAATGAAATGCGAATATGATCAGATCAATTGGCAATTGCTTTTTGTCAGCTGATACCAACTTGTTGCATTCTGATTTATTACAGAGAACAAACTGCTGAAAAACAGGCTGGGAGGTGCTCAGAAAAATATGGCCCCCATTTGGAGTCGGCAGCGTGCTTGCTAGGCCGCTCTGAGCCATGCAGCTGGGAGCCTTTGAGAGCTTTCTAAAATTTTAGAGGACCTGGCAGATTGCCTTGCAGTCTGCCTTGCAGACCTTCTTCCTTTCCATCCTCTTGAAGGCGTCTTTGACATCCATGGAGAGCAGTGGCGAGGGGAGAGGGCTTTGTATGGATTCTCACAATGCAAGTGCTGCTTGAGAGCCTGGTTTCTTCTTGTTTCAGCAAGTATCTTTCTCCTTGTGGAGCCTGAGTCACAGCTTTTATTCTCGTATTTTGATCACGCATCCTGAAAATCCTGGAGATAGTCTTTCAGGTCAAAGATGTACAGCAGTAGCTCAGATAACTTTTGGGTTCACAGATGCTGCGTGGAGGTGGGCTGGAGTTCAGGTGATTTGGCAGAGTTTTGATGTCCTCCCCATTGTGAGCTGCTGTCGATTTACATCAGAAAAGGAGGTTGCTGAGATCTCTGAACTAGAAGCTGAAGTGTTCTGTTGCTTGAGCCAATGGACGTAACATTCAGTGGGTTGCAAATGCTTTCGGTGGCAGGCGTGTTGGACAGTGAGCATGGATATACCCAGCATGGCCCAAACACGCTGACATGGTCTCCACCCTTCAGCAGAGAGGAGAGTAAGGTTAAGGTGCTCTAGTCTTCTATGGAAAAGCTTGTTTTGGAGGGAAAGCCTTTGGTGGGCTTGGGGGTGTTCAGCAGAGCACGTGCTCTGTGGCCCAAGTTCCACACCACACCTAAGGGACTGGTGTGATCCCCAGTGCATGAGCACAGGATCTCTATTACCTTTGCACTTGTGGCAGCTGCTGTTGGAAAATGGTGTCCAATGAGAGCTCACAGATGAGGATGGATGTAGAAACAGTGCAAAGGAAAGTATTATATAAGAGGCCAAGGGTGATTAAAGGATTGGGAATGTCAGATGGTGAAAGCACATAGTGTGTAAACGGGTGGGTAGGCAGCCTACACCCTAAGCCCTGAAAGAACTGACACACCCATTGCCAGGGCCAGGCTAGCACTTTATAGCCAAGTATGACTTCAGAGCAATAGCTCGTGACTGAAGCATGATACTAACCCTCACCTTTAAGTAAAAGAGTGGCGGGAGAAGCAAGCTAGGCAACTCTAGCCTGTGGGCTTGACATCAGAAGCAGGAAGGTGTTTGAAACAGTGGTGGGAAGATGGTAATGGAGGACCTAGAAGTAGATGGAAATTGGGCTAAGAGTTAAGTGTAAGCATTAAGAGCTCTGATTAAAATGAGATATCTCTTTGATAACTCCTTAATTTGATTTTCGACATGGTAAATGTACCTATCCTCTGGTAGGGCTATTTACCTGTTATAAATAACCCTTAGCAGAGCACTGTTTCAGGTGCATCTCTTTTCCCATGCCACGTGAGAAGCTATGAAATGGAGAAAGTAGGTGTCACTAGAGAATAGGGAGGTTGGATAAAGGGCAGCATGAAGAAGAGGCAAGAACTGGATGAGCTGAAAAGAGATGTTCTAGGAGAAAGGTTAGATCAGTCCTTGAGGAACCCCTACTTGCATGGCGCATGCCGATGAATTTTCACTCACTCCAGACTCAGAGTGCATAGCTGGCAGAGGGCAGTAACTGAAGAGTTACCTGGGAGCATTTGACCACATCTGCAGCAAAACTGAGGGTTCATGTTATTGCATGTTTATGATCTCAAAAACAAAGTCCCAGGATGTGGGAACTCTCTATTTGTTGATAGGAAGGTAGGGATGAGGTAACAACAATGGGAACTGATGAGTGTAAGCTGGCCATGAAAAAATTTAGATTGTGTTTCAGACTTCCAGGCCACTGGGAATGAATTTCTGGGGAGGAAGGGAGATAGAACCAAACTTCTTCATGACTTAGAGTGGTAAGGTATTGTAAAATATTGAGTGTCATATCTACCTGAGCTAGTAGGATGTAGATACAGTGAAACTAGTAGTAGACATGTAGATGTAGTTGAAGTTTTAGTTGGGTGTTGCAATATGTTGCGTATGTCATCCTCATGCTATGGAGGTGCTAGTCTTGGACTGTGCTGTACAAACAGTCCAGAAATGTCTTTGCTCCATAGGGAAATGTAACTGTGCTGTGCTGAACACTCACCACTCAGACAGTGCTGTTGGTGTAGACTGGTAGCTCCTGTGTCAGCAGATGTCTCCTTCAGGGCAGACCAGCTGGCTGTAAAAAACAAAGTGATGAAGAGTTACTGTATTTTTTTTCCTCTTTCCCTTTTTCCCAGTGATGCCATCTGCAATTTTGTCATCTGCAATGACTCCTCCTTCCGCAGCCAGCCGATCATCTTCAATCCTGACTTCTTTGTGGAAAAGCTGCGCCATGAAAAACCAGAGGTGTTCACAGAGCTGGTTGTCAGCAACATTACCAGGCTCATTGACTTGCCTGGGGCAGAGCTGGCCCAGCTAATGGGAGAAGAGGACCCAAAGCTGCCTGGGGCAAACAGCACAGCCTCTGGATTTTTTCGTTCTCTGATGTCTCTGAAGCGCAAGGGTGAGTATGGCATGATGTCTGGTGCCCACCTTTAGGGTGATGCTGTAATCATCTGTTACATGTAGTTTACTAAACTTTCAGCCTGTTGCTTTGAGCTTGTGTGGAATGCTTAATACTATAGGTTTGTAATCTCTGAGCAAAACAGGCCACAGGACTGATCCTAGAAATGCCCTGCACTTTGAGAGTATCTTTTTCTGGGGATTATTGCTGTGGTGTATGTTAGGTTGGCTTCAGTGGGTCAGCTGCCCACTGTGCAGCTCAGAAGTCTGTAAGCATCTCCCATCCAAATGCTAGTGCTGCTCAGATCCACATCCCAATCCAGTGAGTCAGTGACAAAGCTCTGCAAACTGACTCTGATTAAGCTCAGATTCAACCCTGGGAGGTGACATATTTCTTTTTCTCTTAGACAAGGATTCAGCTGGAGTTTTCTTCTGGTAAACTGACTATTCTTATCTTCTCTTTCAAGTTCAGCTGTCTTGATTATGAAACATTATCCCTAGGCCCTTCTTAGAAGTTTGAGATCTGCTTTTGAGCAGTTATGTTGAGACCCTCTCCTCTTCAATGACTGGCATTTACCACTCTGTTTTGTTTTAACTAAAAAGGTGTTTTTGGGGCAGGGTGACTACAGTGGGTGTGCGTTCTCCCACCTCTGCCCACACTCAAGGGGAACGTGGTTCTCCTGATAAGTTCAGTTAAACTTCCTCACTTATCTAGACAGAAGCTGACTCCATCTGGGCACCTCACATCCCTCCTCAGCTCTGGTTTCCTAGCTTAGACTGGCAGGCTGCTGGCAGAGAAGCTGTAAGGAGCTGCCTTCAGATGTTGGCAGCCTAAGGTTGAACACTTCTGATTAGTCTTCCCCTTCCTTTAAGCAGTTCTGCTACTGTGAGTACCTCTGAGAAGGGAGTTATTGCTATGTCTGAGTGGCTTTTTTTCTGTCTTCAACCTTTATATAGTGTCTCTAACTGCTTCTGATTTTACCAAACTTATTCTTCTGTTGTATTTCATAAGGACAAGCTCTGCAGCCTCACTGCTCAGGCAGAATTTTCAGGTGCCAGCTTCAGCCCTCCACTTCTGGTTCACTCAGCAGGAATCCTGATAGATACACACACTCTGGGAAAATAAAATACTGCAAATCAGTCTTTTAGCATCCTTAGATGAGAATTACTTAATATTGCCATGACTTACCTTGCTGCTCCATAATAACAGGTCTCTGTGCTGCCCCTAACCTGCAGTTAGACTGTGCTCATACCTGTTATTGCTCCTGCCTCAGTTCCCAGAGAGTAGCAGGGCACCTTAAATTCAAACACTTGCCACTTGACAAACAGAAGCGAGTAACCAAGCTGGAAGTGTTTTCTTAGTGTGTTTGGAAACCTCCATGTTTGTGTCAAAACCTTCCAGCAGGGGCTGGTGAGCCTTCTCTATCTAGCTAATTTTTTTTTTAATTATCTGTACTCTGCTGGAGCACTGCTCTTAGCAGACCTGACATCTCCGGCTTGCTCTCTTCCCCCGAGAGCTCTGCCTTCCCCCATTCAGATGTCTCCATGACCGTGTGTCTCACTACAGCTACAGCTAGCAGATGTTTCCAAGTCTGCTGGCTGCACTCCCAGGCTGCAATGGCAGTGTCTCCCGGCATTGACAGGCACTGTCTGTGAACTCCTTGGCCAAACTCTGAGAAAAAGAAGTTTGTGCCTACAGAGAAAATCAGTTTTGTGTACTGTGTGTTTCATCTTGGAACCATCATTTGTTTTTCTTCATGTTATAGACCAGATAGAACAAACAGGTTTTATTTCTTCAAAGCCAGAGGCCAAGGACCACAGAGCTCAGAGCTGATCAAACTGCAAATACGACTTCTTTGAGCATCAGGAAACTCAATCTCATGCTGCTGCTTAGTTTCAGAAGCAGTCATACAATAACATCTAAGCCTTTGTAACACAGCATCCGTTCTCCAGACACATCTTTCAAGTTTCTTTGAGAATCAAATTCTCATTCAGATACCAGCTTCTGACTTCAAAACTAAATCAAATTTGTCAGGCCCTGCATGTCTCAAGAAGATGTATTTTCCTCTTCTATTCCTGGCCACTGTTGATTCTATCTGTTGAATGTCTAATGAGTTTAGTTTTCTTCAAGGACAAGAATCTTTGCCAACCATTCTTTCCCTTTGCACTCAAACCTTTCAGATCTTTCACGCGCATCAAGAGCTCACATTTGCCTCCTTTCTCCTGCAAGACTGAGGCATGTGCTTTATCAGAGTGAGGTCAGAAAGTTCTTGATTTAACAGGAAGCTGGAGTTCCTGGTGGCTTACCATGTATTTTAGAAGTCCTGGAAGAAAGCAGAACATTCTTCAGGCGGAATAAATTTAGTTGCACAGGAAGGCTGCTAGAGAAGACCATAGGGTTAACCAGGTCTCTCCCACATGCTGTGAGCATCAACACCACAGAGCAGTAAGATCTGTAGTACAACAGACCAAAAGCTAGTAAAATCAAAATGTGCTGTGGCAGGGGGAAAAGAAGAGGCAAGACAAAGCTTGCGGCAGAGATAACTTTTATCAGACCAGCCAATGCACTTCTTGATGGGCTATCACCTGTAACAATAAGGAGGGAAATCTTCAGTGCAAGTGGTGCAAATGTCCAGCCTGCTCTCAGAAGTGACCCATGCTCCTGTTAGTCAGGTCATGGAGAAGAGAGGAATATTCTTTTCTTAAATCTGTTGGCTCTTTGAAGCCTGAGTGCAAGGGTAGGACAAATCAGTTTTGCACCTGCTTCCAGTTCTCAGTCCCCGTCAGCATGTTGTGGTACGGTCTATCCAGTACCTCATCTACAGCTTGCAGTCCAAACCTACGTGCATCTGAGGGAAGAAGTGTGGTGCTCAGGGTTCTGGTTGCTGTCAGTGAAGCCCCTGGGAGTTGTCTCAGCTTTCTGAGGGACAGACCATGCTGGCTGTGTGTGTGTTTGACAGAAAAATCCATTCATTATCAAGGCTGCATTTATTAGACAACACTGTCCTCCTGGATAATCACTGTCTTACCTGCGAAGTCCCTCTCTGCATAAGAATAGTTTTCTGCACTGGTTCAACAAATGCTCTTCAGTTAAATGGGCTTCTCATCTAATGTTTTCTTCCATGCAGGGATCTCCTTCCTTTCAGCTCAGTTGCTTCCACCTTTTGGGGCTGTAGCCTGTGTTATTTAGTGGAGTTCTGGAGCTGGCAGCTGATGTCCAATCTGTAACAACCCCATGACATGGGAGCAGACTCCAAGAGTGAGAGGACCTGCCAGTGCTCCCTATGGAGAAGGACCCAGCTCATTCCTTCCCTACTCTCCTTTTTTTTTTTTTGAGTTCTTCCTTGTTCAATCTTCATACTTTACTCAGGCTAGAACAGCTGACATGGAAGAGAGATTCACTGGGATGAGGGAATTCCAGGGATTACCCATCCCTGAAAAGGAGGCCAGTGTGAGACAGTCAGATCATGTCTGATCTCCCCAGTAGTGCTTGTTCTCCTCTCCCATAAACTAGTAGCTGCACCTCTTCTTTCTGCTCCACTTCATGTCAAGCCACAGTGAGGATGAATCTGGACTTTCCTTCTCAGGCATGGAGAGTGCCAATGTGGAAGGCACCTGGGCAGTCCAGGCTCTCACATCTGCCCTTCCCACTTAGCCGTTCCCATAAAGTTCAGGCATGCAGATTCTGTGCCATTTAAAACTGAAGCATCTGTTTTGGTGTTGTTTTCTTTTAAAGGGCTAGAGAATATTTGCTTTAGCTGATAAAAGTGTAATTAAACTGAGGTAAGAAGCAGGATGATCAAGCCCATGTAAGTACAACATGGTGAGATAAAGTGTCTTATTTTGGAGTGCTTGTGATATCTCACGTGTGTGGGTGTCCTTGTGACCTTCACCCTTAGCATTTTGGGACACTGGTCTTTGCATGCTGAAATCCTGTTCTTTGGGAAACATTAATTTCTGTGGCTGTTGGGTTCTGAGCTGCCTGAACATGTTGTCTTCTGTTCTGCAGAGAAAGGGGTGGTGTTTGGCTCACCACTGACAGAAGAAGGCATTGCGCAGGTTTCCCAGCTAATCGAGTATCTGCACAAAAGTAAGTGGCTCTGTCTTGCTGTCTTCCCATCCCAATGGGTATCTGACTGGCCCACCTCAGGTCTCTGGTGCAGAGTGAAAAGCAATGATCTCTCCAGCGTCGGGAGTTCGGCACTGCACTGGGTGACTATTCCCCAGAATTGCCTAGCAGATATGTTAGTTTATTTCCCTCTGTACAAGCACTTTTTCTACTGATGGGAGCTAACTTGAAGTCATATCTTCATATGTCTGAATGCAGTTCACTGAGATTTGCTGTCAAGCTCTGGAAAGAGGAGGGAACTGCTTTAGTAAGAAGATGGGAATCAGCCTCTGATTACTCAGTCCCCTTTTTTCTCCCCTCTGCCAAGCAGATCTAAGAGCAGAAGGCTTGTTTCGAGTGCCAGGCAACAGCATCAGGCAACAGATCCTAAAGGATGCTCTGAACAGTGGTACAGATATTGACCTGGACTCTGGGGAGTTTCATTCCAATGATGTGGCTACCCTGCTAAAGATGTTCCTGGGGGAATTACCAGAGCCATTGCTGACACACAAGCATTTCCATGCCCACCTCAAAATTGCAGGTGAGTGAGCAGCAAGAGGCAGTGATGAGCAGAAGGACTGGAACAAGCCTCCTAGAAAGCACACTAGGCTGCAGAAGGGTACTCCTTAAAGCAGGATAAGAAGGAATCTTCCTGCCATCTCAGTGTGATGGTGGAAAGACTGGAGCTGAAAATCCTAAGGAATCAGACCAAGTCTGTCTAGCTAGTCTTCTCTCAGATAACTCAGGAGTAAAGCCCACATTGGTAACCTGGGTCTCCATCTGTTTTATGTCTGGGGTTCTCCTGAGCAAGTTGTGGTTTCTATGTACTTAATAACTGTTATTGAACTACCTTATGTGAACTTCCTCCATATTGCCTTCAAACCATCACAGCTCTTAGCAGCTCTGTTGTTCTGTGGGAGGAGTAGCACAGATTAACACATTAAGTGGGGAGCTTGGGAGCTGGGGGGAAGAGAGATGAAGGGCCAAGAATTGTGTAGGGGATTGTAGGAGATCTGAATATGAAGAGGGAAGGATAACTGGTTGCCATAGACTGCTGTTAGGAAAGGTAATGTGTGTCCTTCACGTTCTGCCTTCTGATTTGGCAGACTTGACACTGTTTGATGAGAAGGGGAATAAGACCAGCACTCCAGACAAAGAGCGCCAAATTGAAGCCCTCCAGCTGCTGTTTTTGATCCTTCCCGCTCCCAACCGCAGTCTGCTCAAACTGCTCCTGGACTTGCTCTACCAGACCGCCAAGAAGCAAGACAAGAACAAGATGTCTGCCCACAATCTTGCCCTCATGTTTGCACCCCACATCCTATGGCCCAGAAATGTGAGCAATGCCTCGGTGTCTGTGGGTGGGATATTGCAATATAGACACCAGGGTCTCCTTGGCAGGGGAAGAACCAAGATGGGAAGGTTAAGTATTGACACAGGGATGTGAGGGTTGGAGACTGCGATGGAGAGGTGAAGCTTCCTGGCAGGATTCAGTCCTAGTGGTCAGTCCAGACCTGCCATAGGTCTCATTTGCAATTTAGGCATCATCTTTTTCAGTAAAATTGAAAGCACAGTACAGTTATGCTTCTTTTAAGAAAGTTGGCTCCAGCTTCTGTGCTGCTGGTGAACTGTTTGGCCCCAGAGTTGTCAGGTTCTCCTCTCAGAGCAGCTTTGGCTCTGTGAGCTCTGCTTGTTGGTGTGCTGTGAACCCTGCCTGCCTGTCACCTCAGAGCAGGTCTCTTGCTGAGGCACTGTGTGTCTATGTCCCAGAAACAGCAAGGGCAGCAGAGACCCTTCCTCCTCCCCTTCTAATGGATGCACTTTTGGCTGTGTCCTCTTGCCAGGTGACAGCAAATGACCTTCAGGAAAATATCACAAAGCTGAACAATGGAGTGACCTTCATGATCAAACATTCTCAGAAACTCTTCAAGGTAAGTGTGCTTTGGGGTCTTGCTCTCCCTGCTCCTGTCAGCAGGAGACTGAATGCCCCTTGGCCAGAAAGATTCCAGGGGTCAAGTGTATATTCTGGGGGCTCTCCTGCAGGAAGGAGGATTTCTACAAGAAACTGTTCCTTTAGTGACTAGGGAGGTCTTTGCTGGGCAGGCAGCCCCAGAGATGGCTTTGCCTGGGCAGGTCAGCGGCACGGTGCAGTGTAACGCTCCCCTCTGCTGGACACCAGCACCTGCTGCCCAGTGGGAAGCGTGGCTCCTGGGGGCAGGTTCTCACCGGGCTGCACTAGGGTTCTCCCAGGATAAGGAAAGGGACTTGTCCTGGCTGAGTGCTGCCACGAGCTGAATACCTAATACAGTGCATTGTTTTGTTGTGAACTTCTCTGCAAATGGTAGTCAGCCCACTGTTGTTACGGGCACTGATTAGCTCTGAGCAGGGTGCTGTGTAGAGCAGTCAGGAAGTGTTTCTACAGCAGGCAGTCTCTTGACTTCTCAGGACCTTCCTGGTCACTGTAGGTATCTGCTCTCTGCAGAAAGTCGAAAGTCCTCCCATATAAAGTTCCCCTTCTGCCCTCTTTGTCAGGCCCCTGCTTGGCCAGCTCAGAGCTGGGGGAATCATTTAGAGTAGGGTTCCACAGAAGCTTTTTCCTACTGTGAGTTCCACTTCTGCTGTTTGCCTACATGTAAAGGAAACTGTGAACAGGGACTGCACTGGGGACATGAAATTCCGTGGCTTTGTCTTCCCTAAGTAGCTGAGTCTCAATACAAGTGGCTTGTGTGGTATGGTTGAAAAGCAGCTCTTGCTGCGTCCACTCTTGCTCCAAGGCCAAACATGCTAAACATACATTTGGCCTGTTCTCTGCTCATCGTCACAGGCTCCAGTGTACATCCGGGAGTGTGCCAGGCTGCACTATCTGGGATCCAGAGCCCACACATCAAAGGTAAGGCCAGCAAATGCAGTGCCCTCCATTAAAGGGCAGAGGCTGTGATGCTGTGAAGGGATCCTTGTGAGTGATAGAAGCTGCAAACAAACCAAGTCACGAAAGAGGATCTGTCAGAAGCCAGGAGCAAGGGAAGCATATGGTGTGGTAGTGCAGGTGGCTGCATTAGGGGAATTGGACAGAGTTGAAGCATCTGTTAAACAAAAACACAGGGATAGAAAGCTACCGGCCCCTGTTTAGAGCAAACCTGCTTCGTGTGTCCAGTTCATGCAGCACCTGCTCCTTTGATGGGTTTATGCCTTCCAAACAGACAGACGTGCCTGCTGCCACGGCCAGGTTGCTTAGAAGAGGTGCTGGGATCAAGGCTACTTGCTGCCACTGGGACAATTGTGTCTTGCTAGCAAATGCTTCCCTGTCTCATTTAGCTGCAGAAGAGGGAAGATGCGTTGCAAGGAGCTGCACTGATCCTTCTCAAACCTGGAAGGGCTTCTGCAGCTGGCATCTGGGAGGGGAAGGAAGAAGCAATGGGGTCACCTTTGTATTGCTGTCACCTTTTCCTGGCACGGGGCCTGCTGGTGCAGTGCTGCTGCAGAAGGATAGGGAAAACACAGCCCTGTGCATTCACTGGTGTTGAGGCAGCTCACGAGACTCTTCCTAGCCTGGCTTAGATGGGTGGCTCATTGGGATTAAAGCATGGCAAGCGACTGCTGTCTCCGCTTTCCCAGGACGACCTGGATTTGCTGACGTCTTCTGGCTCCAAGGAGCTGCAGCCCCTCAAGTCTCAAAAGCGAAGCCGGCTGGACTCTTGCCATCAGGAGGAGACCCAGCAGCGCACAGAGGAGGCACTGAAGGAGCTCTTCCGCCATGTCCACAATATGCCTGACTCTGCAAAGAAGAAGAAGCTTATCCGACAGGTAGTGTGGGGAGAAAAGATATCCTTGGGGTGTGCTTGTCAGCACAATCCTGGGCACAGGGTTAAAGGCAGCGCCTTCTTGAGAGCTGCTCCTAATCCTGGGAGGGCTGGGGAGAGTGAGCTGTGGACTTTGGGCTGTGTAAGGGCCAGAGCTGTAAGACAGGGAAGGAGGATGTGTTTGGATGTGACTGATACTGGAGCTTGCTGCATCAGGCTGTGCTTTAAGCTTTCTGTTTTTCAAGCAGTTTTCCAGTCCTGATCATGGCCTTGTTGAGCTTCCTCCTTCAGAAAAGGAAAAGTCTTGTCCCCTCTTGCCTGCAGGGAGTGGACAAACTGGTCTCCTCTTGGTCCCAAGACAACTTGCTGCTCCAGACAGACTGGTCGATATGGTCAGCACCAGTCATGGCTGCCAGCCTCCAGCTGCTGCTCAGCCCCCTTTCTACTCCAACACCTGCTGCTTTTGGTTAATCTGGTAGCCAGCACAAAGCAGCTTTGCACCCAAACTCCCTGTAATGCTGGGTGGGAAATATGGCCTTCCTTTGCTTTCTTATCCCTGCAGCTCTGAGCTGCTCCTCTATTCTGGGATGTGAAAGAAACAAACTGAGTTCTGGGACAGCAGGTAGAGCACCACACAGCAGTAAGAGACTGGTGTAACTGTGCTAACATACTGCCCTCATGTTTCCTCCTAGTTTAATAAGCATCCTACAGCTCTTACTCCTGGCTCTGATGTACCCACATCCCCAGCACCACGACGTGCCCGCTCGCGCTCCTTCAGCGGCCTCATTAAGGTAAAAGCAGCCTCTTACCCATACTCTCTGCTGTGAGTTTCTGATGTTGCTCTCTGCTTCTGCCTTGCCCTGCCTTGAATGAGAGACCCTCAAAGGCAGGGACTGTTCAAAGTATTGTCTGCCAAACAACATAGGTCTACTGGGGCAGAAAAGGCATCACAGTGACGATGTCTTGTTAATATAAAGTGTAATTATCTTGAAACACATGGCTGTAGGATCTGTGCATCTTTCTGGAGAATTGATTGCTTCCTGAGATGAGATGAGGATTGACAGGAAGCTGGTCATGTAGTCTAGCATGTTAGCACAGGTTTTAGCACATGATGGGCTGCTCCACAGCAGCGTGTACTTGCTTCTGACAGGCTGGGCTCCTGGCCGGGCCTCAGGTCAGCTCCCAAACCCTTTACAGTTGGGCAGGCCCAGCCTAATGGCGTGGTATTTCAGGTGATTCTGCTTTGCAATCTTTGTCCCAGCTTGGCTTCCTTTTTTCTTTCCCAGCATCCAACTGCTTACCAGCAATGCATCCTGCTCCTTCTCTTTCTTTTTCACTTTGCACTCAAAGCACTAGCCAACAGCCCTCTCTTCTTACAACAGCGGAAAGTTTTGGGAACCCCAGTTATCCTGGAGAGGAAGAGCAGGGATACCACACCAGAGCCTGTGCGGGTCAGCAAAGAGAATGTCCAACTGGTAAGAAACTTGTCCCAGCACCGCTGAAGCTGTTGGTGGGGAAGTGTGTGAGGGGAGTTTCAGTGCAACTTGGGCACTCATTTCATCAATCCTTGGGGAACTGTTTGCTGTTCTGTGCTCAAGAGGTTTCCAACTTTCTTTTGTATGACAAAATAAGGTCCTGGGAAGCTGCTCTGAGGAGAGCAGATGGCAAGGGCAGCATCAGGGCAGGGGTGGCAGCCCTGGCCCTCTACTCCAGTTTTGTCCCTCTGGCTGTGTTCTGCCCTGGGGCATTGGCTTGTGCTCCCTGCCCTCTCTCTCATCCTCCTCCACAAGTTGTACAGAGCCTGCTGCTTGTATGCAGTAAGGCTGTCCCATGGCTTGGACAAACTAAGAGTATATTTGGGTGATAGATGCCCTTTGGTGGTACAGGCTGCTCCCGGGGAAGGCTGTGAATGCCACTTCATTCACCAGCTCTCTAATCCTATTGCCCTCTCTTGTCCAGTTACAGAAATGTGGCTCTCCAGCTCATGTGTCCCAAGCAAAGCTGAAAACTCTGGAGGGCCGGAAAGAGGTGAGACACTCCCTGTCCCCGCAGTTCTTCCTGTGGGGAACCTGATGTGCTGGGCTCTGACACCTGCAGAGGTGACGGCACACACTCAAGGCTCTGTGACAGCTGCAGTGCCCCAGCTCATAGCAGTCTGCTCTGTACTGAGCTGCAGGCAGGTGGCATTCTGGAAGCCAGACCCTGAAGGGTTTCACCCAGCAGGTGGGTACAGCCCTTCTACCTGTGAGTTGGCAGGCTGGCTCTTACAGGAAGCAGAGGGAAGCTGGCAGCACAGGGTACTGCTAACAGCCTGTCAGGGTGGCAGTAGGACAAGAGCTTGGTGCAGCCCAAGATCAACTGTTATGTTTGTTCCTGTCTGCTCACTGCCTCGTCTAGTGCTTTAATAAAAGGTGTTGGAGGAGGACACCAGGGAGGGTCCTTGCAGGAGGAGAATGTCAACCTTTTCTTGCATAGCATTCTGTGTCTCAAGCATTCAATTGCTCTAATTCTCTGCTACAGGAATCCTGTAGGCGCATGCGAGCCCTCCTGCTTTCCAAGGATTCATCATCCCTCTGAATCGCCTCGCACCAACGCATGGGTGGGGATTGCCCAGCCTCGCAAGCTGTGAATAAATAACGTGCTGCACTGAGAGGGGAGTGCTGCAGGCTCACGGCACCCTCAGCAACACGGCAGCACTCTTGAAACTGGACCTTTGCAAAGACTGCAGGGACTTGTTTCTTTCTGTATATAAATTACATTTCATTCTACTATGGGGCAAACCACTATCTAACCAAAACTTGTGCAGCATGTCTGACCTGCTGGCTCTGGGAAGAGCTGGAGTGCTTACTTACAAGGAGAGCCCTGTTCATTGCAGAGCCCTGCGTGCACTCCCAGCTTTCTCTGCAATGTTGCTAGGCTGTATTTTTTTGCTTTTCTGCTCTGAGTTTTTAACACATTGCCTTGTTTTTGCTTCCTCTCCTCTGCTAGCAGTGAGAACAATGGACTGCAACCTTTACCTGCATCCTGACAGCTAAGCTTGCCTCCAGTCCTCCTCTGGAGCCGGGCTTCTTCTGGGCTCCATTTTGCTCTGCTGTTTGCAAAGGGCTGGAGTGCACAAACGGTACAGAGCACAGGATGGGCCTGGGAGGAGGGGAGAGGCTCTGGATGCCATCATCTCAAGCGGGCAAAGCAGCATCCCCAATAAACTCATCCCTCTGTTTTAGCTGGAGCTGGAGGCAGCCCTTGCTCACTGCCTTCATATCTCAGTGGCACTGAGCAACTCTGAGCAAGGAGTGTCTCTGCTGTGCGTTCACCCAGGGAGGCTGAGCAGAGCAGGAGGCTGGCATAAGCTGTCTGGGGCAGAACAGCCTAGTCTTTGGAAATTACAGTGCCTGGAGCAGGCAGAGTCTTGTGGCTGTGTGCAAAGCATAAAAACAGTGTGAGCAGCGTGAGAGGTGAGAGGAGGCTCCAGCCCCTTGTGATCTGCTGCAAATTGTGCCAAAGGCTTTGGCTCAAGATATCTGGATGGCTGGTAAGGCAACTGGCTCATTAGTCATTAAACTGGGGGAAAGGGCTGAAGGTGGGTTCAGCTCTTTGGTCTGAGCTGCAGAAATGAGATTAAACCATCTAGATATGGGATAAACCCCCATCACAGCTGGCCAGTGGCAGTGGTCTTGTTAAGCTAAAGTACTCCAGTAAGCCAATCTTGCCAAGAACATGTCTGCAGGCACTCTGAGGTAGGATACACATAGGGTCACTACTGTGAAATAAAGATTTAATCAGCTGGGGAACCATCTAAACACTTCTCAGCCCTTCTCAGCAAAGCAAATAATCTCTGGAATCCAATTATATTTGTCTTCTAATCTTTAGGAACCAGCAGCTAGCAGGAGTTAGAGCTCTGTTCTTGACAGCTTTCTGAAACAACTGGTGACAGGAGGTGTGAATATTGGGATAAGAGCAGGAAGTTCAGTCCGACTGGCTGGAGCTGTCAGAACAGGGCATCGGAGACCTGTGTGGCTTAGCTGGAATTTGTCACTTTCTTTAATTCTGATTTTTTAATTTTTTTTTTTTTTAGATACAGCTTTTGCTGCTCTGTAGAAAGGGAGATTTCTGGTCCTTTATTGAGGGGACCTGTCCCCAGTCTGACCCCAGGCTGGAGCCTTGAAAATGTAGGGGGTAGTGGAACTACAGACATGTGAGTTGCTGGTGTTAGGAGCCTCTGTCACAGCAAAGAAAGAGCTGTGGTTCTTCAGGGACCAGGCTGGCAAGGATGCTGTGAGGAAGGGCAGAGGCTATTTGCTGTGGCAGTAGTATGTGCTTTTTGAATGTGTCTGTAATCATTCCCTCCAGGGGATGAAGCTGTCTATGTGTTTTTCTCCGAAGGGCACTGTATGTTTTGCTGACTGCACTTCTGCCCTGTCCCTGCAGCCCACTGTTAGCAGAGACCTGGGGATCTTGGCTTTGCCTCTGAACAGAGAAGAGGCACAGCCAGAGGTCAAGTGGCAGTACAAGGAGAGCTGGGTCTGGTTCTGCTACCTCTGCTCTTATTTGCATCAGTAGCAGTTGCTGGGTGAAGTTATTGTTCATTCCTCTTCTTCCCATTGTCCCTAACTTACTTGGGCATATCTCTCTCTATGGGTGTCTGCTTGGCAAGGTAGTCTTGTTCCTAAGACTAAATACCCTTCTCCCATATGGATGAGAGGAATATAACTTCCTACTGTCCCCCCTTACTGATGTCTGGCTCCTGGCACAGCTGAAATTTGTTTAGCTCTGAGAAAAATTACCTAGGGGGCATGGTCCAGGCATTCTGCATGTGTCAGATGCCTTACCTACCAAAGGGGTGGATGCTGTGTACAGACAGGGCAGTCCCAGGAGGGGTTTGGTGCCTTTGTCTGTAGCCTGTGGTGCTGTGCTCCCTATGCTGAGGATGATGGTGGCTAACAGATTTGGCCTTTAGGGCCTTGGCTGTTGCAGTCCTAATGCGTTCACACTGTCTCCCAGGCACGGGAGAGTTTTAGTCATGCTTGAATGTGTCTCATTTGTCTGCCCTGTGCAATGACTCATAAGGATGCTTCTTCCCAGAGCAGCCGCTAACTGTTCCCAGAGTCTATCATTTCCAAAGTATTTTTAATCTTTGTCTTTATTTATATATGCTATGTAAGTACTGTTGCAGACTGTTGCCTTTCTGTGTGTTCATGTGAAAACCCCATATTAAATGCTTTTATTTTTAGTGATTTTTGCTTGGTGGCTTAAGCAGTTTCATTGGGATAGCAAGAACTTGGTGGTGTATCCACCTTTAAAAGGAAGGAAACGTCTGCTCAGAAGCCCAGAGCTACAAGTGTGGGGGTGCTTGGTGAGGCACTGCCCACCTGCATTGATGGCACTGGCCTCCCATGGCACTAGGGCTCATTCCCTCTGGGATACTAGCATGATATAGGGTACCCAGACAGGCTGTCTTTCTCTCGGAGGTAAAAAATTGGACCTCTTCTTTTCCTGTCTTCCCCCTGCTGTCATCCAGGGTGATGGGAAATCAGGTTTACAAAGAACACTTTATATAAATAATGGATCAAATGAATAAATTTTTCTCTGTAGAACCATTCTTCTCTTGCCACTCTTGGCTGCTGAGAGAGGATGCTTTCTGCTTGCATTTTCTTTTCCTCCTTCTTAATAATGGCGTCTCAGATTTTATGCAGATTATTTCTCTGTGAAGTTCTTCCACGTTTGAAATGCCCTGGGCTTGCCTGCCGTGGCTCAGACACTCATTAACATCCTTGCCATGCAATTGAAAAACAAGCAGGAGAAGCAAGCAGCACGCTGTGTTTGAAACCAGCGCTGCCTTCCTGCGGGGTGAGCTCCGAGTGGGCCCCCTTCTCCTCCGGGGCTGCAGTTGGGTGTCATGGGACTGGTGAGCCCCATCTCCCTGGAGCTCAGGCAGCAGGAGGTGATGGGCCTCTGTGCACTTCAAAGTGGTCGTGAGAGTCCAGAGAGACATTTCTCTTCTTGAAGATGCTGAACAAAGGAATGCAAAAACTCACAGCAGCTATTTTCAATACTGCAAATCCAAATATCATCCCCCTGATAAGCTGTGATTCAAAGTGGCAGCTTTATCTGGCTTACATAATTTAAAAAAGGAATAGTTTTTGGCTCCTGAAGCCACAAGCCAAGCACTTATGCTCTACTGCAAGTGAAAGGCCAGCAGCCACTGGGACCAAACACTGGGTGAAGGTACGTATTTAGAGGGGGATCACTCAGCTCTCAGTGTTTGCTTTGGCCTTTAGTATTCCTGCACAGCAGTGGTGTTGCAAAACAAACAAGCAGTGCTCACCTTCATTTCATTAAACAGTTTTTATCTCAAATTGCACAGCACAGACTTGCAAATAAGTTCTGCACAGTGTCATTGCTATCTAAATCATTTTTTGCTAGTTGTCTTGATTTTTTTTTAATAAACTGTTCTGCCCTGTTTCAGAGTTGAAATAAGATATTCTTTCTCTCTTAAATTATCATGTGTGGCTGGGAGCTGTCATGTTGCTGCTGCATCTCACTGCCTAGGGCAACAGTGTAGACAAAAAACATGAGTAGTGCTAGCGATAGATGTTGGCACCAGCCAGACCAGTTATCAGGCTTTACAATCTCATTGGCTTGCGTTAACTAATATTTTTTCATGGAGTGAATAAATTACCATGTTTAGTTCTGTTTGCTCATCTTTCCAGTGAGGGTTTTATGTTGAAGTTCATAAACTATGCAGGCATGTAGATGCCAAAATCTCCATGCTGGGTCCCACACTGACCTTCCACTTGTGCTATAGACCAGAGTGCAATCTGAACTGGTACCAGCACTCTGGCCTCATCCTGCTCCAGTCCAGCTTTGTTCCTGGGAAGTGCCCACACATGAGGAATGTGATAGGGTTGTTTCTGGGCTCCTGTGCAAGGAGCCTTGATGCAAGGCTCACATCGCAAGTTCAGATGCTTCCCAGCACCAGCCTTTGAGGTGCTGAGTTTAGTCTGGCTCAGAGGGGGCCGAGCTTTGCTTTCCCTGCTGAGTCCCAGCTGGAGTGGGCATTACTGTGGCCCCCTCCACAGTTCTACCTCTCCCAGGCTAAAATGGCCTCCCATGCCTTGCTCTTGGGGAAGATTTACAAATCCACCACCCAGCCCTCCCGTGCAGTGCCTTATGTGATTTTCAGAGAGAACTGTGTCCCACTTAATCCTCTGCTTTTGGCTGAAGCTCCTGTGCCACTGGAGATTGTGATAAATGGAGGTGCAAACCTGCCTTGGCCACCGTGGCTCTGTGTAACTGGGTGCATGCACAGGTCTATGATATGGGGGTGTCTGTGTCAGCCTGCGGTCTGGTCTTTCTACGGTTTGTTTCTTCCAATCTTCTTTTCACTTACAAAGCCTGGGCCTTGCTCCCCTGCGGAGCAGGATCTCAGCAACCTCCTGCACAAAAGCCTCTGGCTCCATTGTGCCTCTCTCAGGCCATTCTGCAGCAGCAGCGCAAGAGGGGGCTGACAGCACACGCTGCGGGACGGGACCCCCTGCCTGCCCCGAGGCACTGGGGGCCCCCCAGATGTGCCTGAGGGGCAGGCTTGGAGACGCCTGGTTCTTCCTCCCTGGCTGCATCTGAGGGATGGTGGAGGTGGGAAGCTGGGACTATAAATAAAGTGAAGAAAAACATGAAGAGCACTGAGAAAAGAAAGGTTGGGGAAAGAAGCTGGGGAGGGATGTCCTCAAAATCAAAAATTAGCTCTTCAGGTAGCCCCTAGCATGGTCCTCCAGCTCTAAGGAGAGTCCCTGCCCACATCCAGGGCCAATTAGAGCTCTCACAAGGCAAGCTTAAACACTTTTCATCTCCTTTTCAAGTTATTTTAGCTACTGGCATCTTCTTGTGTCCTCCAGAGCCAGATCCTGGTAGCCAGTCAATCAGACTCATTCCTCTCCTCATTCCTGCTGCTCCTTCTGCAGAACCTGCACCCTGAAAGTGCCTCTTCTACAGTGTGGAAATTTGGATGATGGAGGCAAAGTGGGTCTGGTGGAAGCAGCTCCCTTATCACACATTGTGCAGAATCTGACTTTCTTTCAGCCTCTATTCGCTTGTGACTCTGTCACAAGCTGGGGAGAAGGAGAGATGACACAGAGACACATGCGTACAATTTTGGGACTGACAAGGTTCAGAAAGGCCACCTGCAACTGTGGAAGCACAATGAGCCCAAGTGGGCACACAGCTTATTGATTACATCCCAGTGTGGGACCAGCCGCCAGCTAGCCATAAATATGGAGCAGACGCAAGCTTGTCTGCACTCAGGGCATCTTCATTAACAAAATGAGGACAGAGACACTGCCTCCCTCATCCATCAGGCTGAAGCACTCCTTATTTCTCAGGTTAGATGTTTTCCCAGTTCAGGAACATCAGTGCAGTGGGGATTTCAATATGTGAAAGGGTTTGGTGGGAACAAGTCCTGTTTCTCTAACAACAGAGCCCAGTGTCTCTGCTTACCCCATGGCCAAGGTCATCAGCTGAATCCTGAAAACCCACCTGCTCCTTCTGGGGGGCAGGGTATTATGGCAGAAGAGCTGCAGTTTATGGCACCATGGAGAAATATGTCGGATGCGCTTGGCAACAGCAAATGGAAAGTTAGTCTATTAAACAGTAAATTATCTCTCCAATGCATCTTCATTGAGGAGGGTTAATGAGTGGCTGCAGGCAGAGTGAGTGGGAAAGAGTGTGTGTATGCACAGTGCGGATGTGGAACAATTGCTGCATCTGGAGACCCTGGAGCCCCTGATCCCACGCTACACCAACAATAGCATTTCCATGTGCAAGGCACTTCACAAACACCTCCTCGCGTGTGGTTTATTCAAACCAGCTTGCACTGCTCCGCAGAGCTCCCAGGCGGCTGGTGTGTCCAGCCGTGCCGGGAACAGCATCTCCCCATCTGTATCTGGGCTGCTTGGCGCCAATGTTTTCCTTGTGGGATAGAGCTGGTTTTAGGAGCCCAGGCTGCAGGGCTCAGCCCCTCTGCTCAGCCATGCCACAAAGCAGGGATGCAGCGCCTTGCTGACTGTCCCCCTCCTGCTGTTCTGCAATTGTTCAAGGCAGTGAGACACCCCCCACCTGGACAGTCTCTTTTATGTTAGGCTGGGGCCAAATCCACCTGCTTGGGAACCTTGGCATCTCCTGCATCATCACACAGCACCCAATGGATGCTGTTCCTTTCACTTGGTCCCGGTGGTGAAGGTCCCCAGGCAGCAGAGGTGCCCCACTCCTGCAGCCACATTCGCAGAGCAATGCTGGCCATGTTTGCAGAGTGATGTTGATGGTGTTCTTAGGGCGATGTTGGTAGTGTCTAGAGGGTGATGCTGACCACGCTTGCAGGGCGGTGCTGGTAGTTTGCAGGGCAATGCTGGCCACATTCACAGAGTGATGCTGGCTATTTTTGCAGGGCAATGCTTTTGCTGTTTGCCTGTGAGGTAGGACTTGTGCCTGGAGAGACACAGGAAAGAACACATCCCAGCCCTGCCTGCTGCTGCTGCTAACCAGGAGAGATTTACTGTGATCCCAGTAGTCCCTGCTGCCCGCACCACTCTATAATAAACCCATCAAGGGCATTGTCATGCTGCACGAGTCCAACAGGTGCCCTAACGGGGCTGACACGCTGGCCCACTCCCACACAATGCCTCACTCTCCAAAGCTGAGTGTGTCTGGCAGGACAAAGGCAGCCTGGCTTCCCAGCACGAGCTGAGCTGGCCAGGCATGACAGATGTGGGCAGCCCGCCTGTGCGAGATCTCTGGGGGACACTGAGAAGCTGAAAGTTATGGATGCTCTGCTCCCAACACATCTCCAGCTGGGTCTTGTGGCCACTGCTCCTCAACCAGGTGTGTTTTAGTAGCATTGCTTGCAGCAGAATTCAAAGCACAGCCCCAGTGCAAGGGAAGATGGATCCTGCTGTTGGCAACGCTCCTCAGCAGGGAAGTTGGACCAGGCATCATGCATGCATGCTTGTATTGGGTTTGTGTGGCAAGGCTTTGGTAGTGGTGGGGCTTCTGTGAGATACTGCTAGAAGCTTCCTCCATGTCCAATGGAGCCAGTGCCAGCCAGCTCCAAGACGGATCGACCACTGGCCAAGGCTGAGCCCATCAGTGACAGGGGTAGCAGCTCTGGCATAAAGTATTTCAGAAAGGGGAAAAGTTGCCGCACAACACCAGCAGCAGCTGGGGAGAAGATAGAGAAAATGTG